CACAACCACACAAACACACACACCACAACACAACGCCAGCCCACACAACACACAATACACACACGTTTACCGCACACACACACACACACACACACACACACACACACACGTGCCATAGTAATAAATCTATCATTATCTTTTGTGCGTCCAGTATCTCCACTCAGTCTCAAGTGGTGTCTTCCTGATTGTGTTGTGGCCATGAAGATAAGGAAATAATAAAGTCTGCACTCCCTTAAATCTTATTCTAAACCCTGCAACATCCTGGCTTTCTTGCTTGCTTTCCAATTCCTCTTTCCTTCTTCCTTTCTTTCTCTTTTTTCCTCCCTCCAACACCCTTTTCTCTTTCTCCCTGCATTGTGTGTATATTTATGTTCTGACTAGTCAGGGTCAGGGTCTCATGTTTCCTGTAAAGCCGATGATAGCTTGTTTACTCACAGAAACACACACATTCCTGTGTTTGTGTTACAATAAACCCTAAAGTTATGTGTTTTGTTACGTGTGGAAACACAGGCAAAGAAGATAGAGACTTAGGACATGAAAACATGCACAGAAAAAGATAGAAATAAATGACAAGAGTAAAAAAAAGTGCTGTGGTTTGTACCTGGAACCTCCTCATGTCTCGTGGGTTTCCTGCATTTTTTAGACAGTTCTGGTTGCACTTGAGGAAAAACTTGAGGAAGAATCTGTGGAGGAAGAGAGGACAGGCAATATTTGGGGGTTAACATGAGACCAGAGTAAAGACTGCTTTTCTTCAATACATGTGAATTCAAGGTCAGTCTCCAACACAGACAGAACCCAAAATACAGACATAGAAATTAATATTTTACACTGTTGGAAAGTCAAAAATGAATTTCCTTGTGGATATGCGGAACAGCTGCTATTTGTTGAACTGAGATGGCCTTGAAATGTCACATAAAAGGCAAATAAAGCAGCACACTCCAACAAAACTGGTGAGCAAGTTACATTTTTTGAAAATCTTAAATTGAACCTTCAGTTTTTTAGTTTTTTTTGTGAATCCATACTTCATCATATTCCTTAAAACCCTCCTTTCTCTGTTTTTTATTGTCAGTGCTTCAAGAAACATGTGACGTCTACATGGCTGCAGATTAAAACCTTGTCGGTTAGGATTCATATACAGTGAAAAACATGTGAAAAGATAGATTTTAAAATCTACAGAGGTGACGCTAACCCTGACGTCAATGCTTTAAGAAAAGGGGAACTATGTTGACATTGGGTGTTTGAAACGGGACCATATGTCATGAATCTATATTACAGAGTAAATCAAACACCCAGATGGCCATCAACAGCTAACAAACACATCCAGGTTGTGTTTTGGTGTGAGCCAGCTGGCCGGCCTGGCAGAAACAACAGAACACACTCGCACAATAACAAAGACCGACACACACATGCATACACGTTTATGTTTGTTACATCTGTGTGTTAAACCTCAATAAATGCAACACAACTTCACACGCAGGGAGATGATTCGTCTACGTTGCATTCTGAGTATACACCTTATTCTATGTCTTTCTGATTCTCTTTTGTTGCTTTGAGTTCGTACTAGAGATGGACAACACATTGATATATCGATATCGTCGTATACTGTAAAACTAGATAACTTAAAGTAAGCGTCTTTTCCTGTTTTTAAAGGCGGCATTACACTACAGTGATTTCATATTTTAAACAAACAGACTTTATAGCTGGTCTAGTATTTACCACAACCCAATGAACTATTATATCCGCATTACTTATCAATATTTATGAACAATCTCCTTGTGTATATATTTTATAAAGCACCCAAAGTCAACCCTACAATATTGGCGCAATTACATTTTGAGGGATTTAAAAGAAAAAAGTGATATTTGATTGACACATCGCCCAGCCCAAGTTCGGTTGCAAAAAGGTTTTTTCTTTTCTAGATTACATTAGTTTCCTATTGTTCATAGTGTTCTAGAAAGCAGTCACACATCAGCAAAGCACCACCTGTTGAGGATCACCAAGGAAAATCAGCATCTCTTTGTAGCAACAAAATATTATATTAGAAAGTTCCACAAAGACAGCGAAGCTTTTATATTTAATTTCCTCCCATTGTGTCCCCTCTCTGTATTTATCTTCATGCAGTTAAACCACATACTTAAATAATTTCAACTTTTCTGCATCCCCTCAATTCCCTCGTGGCAGAGCCTGGTGCTCTACTGTTCAAGAGATGACAGCCCTTGTACTGGATCACCAGAACAATGCAGAGGTGTGCGCTTGGTGTGTGTGTGTGTGTGTGTGTGTGTGTGTGTGTGTGTGTGTGTGTGTGTGTGTGTGTGTGTGTGTGTGTGTGTGTGTGTGTGTGCTAACATCTACTCCACATGTGAGTGTATGTGCGTGTATGTGCGTGTGTGGCGGTGCAGCACAGCCCAGTGGCAGGTCTGAGTGTAAAACTCTGCGTTAACGAGCTCAGGCTTCGTTAGAACACTGGTGCTGGGATTCTGCATGCCTAATTATCTTGACCCCTTACCCCCAGGTGACAGCCTATCACAGCGGAGGACAGCCACGGTGACCCCTGCTGACCTCCCACTGTCTACTCCTTCTCATAATACTAGCATAGCGTTAACACGACCACCTCAGCTGACCCTCCACCGAACATCTCTGTTTAAAGGAAGCTCACACGCTCTGCTCATCTGCCTGAAATATGAAAAAACTAAAGCAGCGGTGTAAGAAGAGTTGAGATCTTTACAGAAACTTCATCAGTCCTGCATTCAAATATCTAGCATGTAAGAAACCATAATAATTACTGTACTCAAGTCCTACATCTGTTGGTTCATGTGGTGCTTTATGTCTGTGAAATGTAGATCAAATGAACTTAGCAAATGTATACTGGTAAAAGTACAAAGCAGCATTAAACCTCATAAAGCAAACCAGTTACTGGAAATGAAACCATTTAGTTCGATTTTTTATATGTTTTTAAAGTTCAGTGTTTCATAGGCAGCTTATTCACTTTTTAGGGCCACAGCAATCTCTGGCCTCATGATACTTGACATACAATGTTTCAAAATTGTTCCACATAATATAATTTACAGATGTATTATATGGGAAAGAAATAAAACTGTTTTTTGACGGTTGGTATCTGAAAGGTACCCTGAAATGAAATATCAGACCAGATCTTTTTAAGTTTTAAAACCTAATTTATTTTGTTGTATATGTTCTTCTTTGCTGTTACAGACACACAGTTCACTGCCACTTCCTACAATCTGCAGTCAGCCGAAACTTCTATCGTTTGCTTGTTAAAACACAAGATACTAACAATACAGGTAGCGCAACACATTTTGTTAATCAAAACATTCCTTGATTACTAGCCGACCAATATTTCTGCAAAGGGGAATGAGAACATCTCACACATCTAACGGCGAAAGACATGTACGTGTTAAAACATCAACTGAATCACCACTATGATCTCCTATGTATTGATTTAACAATTTCACAGTCCAAATCATTTCCATCTATCATTGGCTTATCTCCCTTCTGATCTGATGATATTGCTCATTATTTTTCATATTTCCATTTGGTGCTCTACTCTATCCGTTTATTTCCTGAGAGAGCGTTTTCTCTCATTGATTGCCAACAGAAGATATTCTACATTTTAATGCAGTATGTGTGCTTTCCTCTTCCCCCTTCACTTGACCCCATCTGGCCTAATCAACTCCGCTACAAAAAGGCCCTGCAGCTACACACACGCCTGCACACACACACAGACACCTTGTGTGAATTGATTGGCTGGTCCAGTCACTGGTCGTTAAGAGGCCTCCAATTAAACCGGGCAATTATAAGAGTCTGAATGACTGTGGGGGAGGGGAGCACTCTCCCCCTCTCGCCTCGATCTCACTCCCCCTCTCCGAGGCCCGATCATGTTCAAGTGATAACAGCGCTGTTGACCTTTGCTATACTGTGAGTAGCGCACTCAGAGAGCTGACCCGGCTCACTCTCACACACACACACCACACACACACACACACACACACACACACACACACACACACACACACACACACACACACACACACACACACACACACACACACACACACACACACACACACACACACACACACACACACACACACAAACCGTCTGCAGGCTAGTGTAAGAATGGTAGCAAGGGAAAGGTATACAACAAAGAAAGAAGAAACAATAAATGAGAAAAATAAATAAATAAAGTTTGAAGACGAGCCTCCAGGATATTTTTACGCTCTTGTCAAGATTATTAATTTGGGCATTTAACATTTTAAGGGCAGTTTAGATACAGAAAAGAGAGATGGGAAGTACCACTGAGAAGGGTATAACATGTAAAAAGGGTCTCATGCCACATTTGTGTTAGTTTTCACAGTTACTGATGAGTGTAGGAAAAGATCATCGGTATTGAATTACCTTTGAAAAAAGTGGATTCACACAATTGTGTCTTCAAACATTTCAAATTCTCAACTGCTGCATTATACAGTATATGTTTGAAACGTACAGCATTGTTACATTGTTGCTGTTAAAAAAAGCCTAACCATAGCCCAATTGAACAGTCAGGAATTACATGTTATGGGTCTCGTTATTATTAAGTTATTCATTACACCTTACACCTCTGCTGTTCTTGGGGGAATAAGAATGCGTCATCAAACAAACACAAAGCCATGGCACATTGTTTTATCACCTATGTTGATACGGCTCACAAGATAGAAAACATTATATGCTTATAAATCCAGATGACACAGAGATACATCAGCATTGATTTGTAGCCTTTGGTTCTGGTCACCTGATGAATGTAAGTCCAATATTCACTCTTCTTCTATCTCTGGTTTAACTCCTTAGAAAAATGCCCGGTTCTTAAGCTGCTGCTAAGTTTGTGTGTCTGTCCTTTGCTTCCTTCTGCTGTAAACTGACCATCTAATTTCAATCAAGTTTACCTGTAGTTCAATGCCTGTTCTTTCAGCTTATAAACATTGTTATGTAGTCAACCACATGTGTCATTTTAAGCTGCTGTTTATTCTTGACCATGTTAATGTAATCAACCGTGCTAGTCTTATTTAGCCTGTTAGCCCCACAGATATGTAGGAAACCATGGATGCTGTTTTTCTTTTGCCTGTTAGCCATGGTGCAGTAGTGAACAGCACAGTTACATCCATTATTCAGAGGCTGAGATGGCAATTATGGCTCAGAGCACAACTGACATTAATATTTAATATATAGGGCTAACACAGACCTGAAGAGAGAGAGACAGGAAGTGACAGAGTGAGGGGATGCAGAGGGGGCATTGGGAAGAGTGAAGAAGAAGAGGGGGATATAGAAACAAACGTAGGAGAGAATGAAGAAAGAGGATTGTGGGAGTTTTGTTTTGACCACCCTCCTGTCATTTAAACAGTTACAATGACGACAGGGCAAGGGTGACATCCGGGGGAATTCCAGCTTAGTGTGTGTGTGTGTGTGTGTGTGTGTGTGTGTGTGTGTGTGTGTGTGTGTGTGTGTGTGTGTGTGTGTGTGTTTCAAAAAGAGTGCGTCTAAGACTGAATGTCTGTGTCCGTTTTATTCCCTAAAGACTCGCTATTCTACAGAGCCAAGAATAACGATGCCGCCTTGGAAGAGAAAAAAACCAACAAAAAAAACCTCTCCAAAACACACACAAACACACACACAGCGTTCTGGTGAGTTGTTGCTGACAGGTGGAGA